TCAAACTCAAGCCTGCGTGAACACAGAACTTCTACATAAGCACAAAGCCACACACCTCCCTCATGAAGCCAGCTGACCTCAGAGAAGATAAGGGGAGAGAATCTGGTGATCTCTTCCTTCTTTGCTGACCTGGCCAATCCTATCTACTACCACTCAAACAGGCTGAGTGTTTCCCATAGATCAGCTCCTGCCCAATAACCAGTACTCACAGGGCTCCTCCTGTCCAGGTAAGGTGACTTGATGTTTCTTTACACCGTCAAACAGGAGCTCTGCACCACCTCTGCAAAGAAAGGAAGGCCGAAGAAAAAGATAGCTAGGTGAGCTCCTGCAAACAGTAGGAGGTAACTGAAACTGAAAACTGACGACAGGGTTGGTAGTGGAAGCCCAAGAGATGAAGATACCAAGGCTTAGGAACACCTTGAATACTAGTCATCAATTGCCAAATGTGACCTCCATATGTGGCAAAGTAGGATGTAAACAACTTTTACTAGTAATCAAGTACCCAAACTTGCAGATTCTCATTTTGTACCCTTCTGCCTTCTGGAGACGCAACTTAGCACTTAGGTGCAGACAAAGGCTTTGGAGCTGTCTGCCCCAAGGTAAAGACTAGCCTCTACCTCTCCCTCAGAGTGAGACCTTGGGCATTTGACAAAATCTTTTTTTCCTTTGAGACAGAACCTCAAGCTGTCCCTCTGGGTAGAGTGCTGTAACATCACAGCTCAGAGCAACCTCCAACTCCTGGGCTCAAGTGAGTCTTCTGCCTCAGCCTCCTGCCACAACGCCCGGCTATTTTTTGGTTGCGGCCGTCATTGTTGTTTTGGCAGGCCCAGGCTGGATTTGAACCCGCCACCTTAGGTTTATGTGGCTGGTGCCTTAGCCACTTGAGCCACAGGTGCTGAGCTGACAAAATCTTAAGCCTCAGTCTTTCCATCTGCAAAAATATTGAGATGCCAGGTTTCCTCTAGCAAGATGAGGGTTTGAAATGTTCCTGCCTAGGCTACCCTGCTGCCAGCCTAGTGCAGGAGGCTGACAGAGTCCACTGGGCCTAGACAAGCAGACCAAAGCCTAGAGGTTCAACGACTTGTCAAGGTCAAATAGTGTCTGAACTAGAATTTGAATCTACCAGTATCCTTGGCAGAAACAAACAGGACTCTTCAAAGGATAGAAAGCCCCTTGAGGGCAGAGTTTGGTTCGTTTGTGTCCCAGAACCTGGACAAGGGAAGAAGGGGACAGCAGAGACGCTTAGAGCCGAGTCTAGAAGCTGAGGTTTCTGAGGCAGGCCCCAGGGCTCTTTCAGTGCCTCTTGATCTCATCTCAGACTTCATGGGCCTTAACTGAAAAGGTCTTAACAGACTTTTGATGGATATGATGTCTTTCTCCCTAACACCCATTCTCAATTTTAGGGAACAGAGACATCCTAAGACAGCCCACTGGGAGGCAAAGGCAAAGGCAAGGCAAGTATTGTCATGAGGGAAACATGGGGCGACTGTCATCCAAACAAGATCATGCTTTGTTGATGCAGAAATGTAGAGGGGGAGAGGAGGCCCATCTGTGGCTGTGCACAGGGCCATTTCAGCTGCAAGCCCGCACAGAGCCTCCATTTATTTCCTTCCAAGAGCTTAGTTTTCTCCTGGGTGGGGGTTGGCACATGTAGCAGCTGGGGTGGGGGAGGGTGACAGGCAAGGGGCTCAGGAGTTGGGTTAGAGAAGAGGGACGAGAACTGGAAGCACTGGGACTCAGGCAAACAACCAAGAGTGGCCAAACCTGGTGGTGCCAGGCTCAGAGGCTGAGGCTGTTTTTCCTTTACAAATGGATAAAGGGAGAACCACTCTGGCTCAGAGTAACCCTTCATAGCTGAATTCTCTGGCCCTCAAGGGAGGGGTTGGCATTTCTCCTGTCAACACATCTGGAGTGGGGGAAGTTTCATGCCCAGCCTCTGGAATGATGCAAGGAGGCAGACAAGGGGCTGTTTTGGCCCCAGAGATACCCATGGTCAGGCCCTATTATGTCTAGATATCAATAAGATTTGCTAGTCAAATTCAACTAAGATACCTCTATCTTTCTCCTACCCTCCAATTGTTGGTGGATGTGTTTGTGAATACCAATGACAGGTATAGACATTCCCCAAACCGCTTTTACTTTTTCTACTTCACCTTCATCTTTTTGTTGTGTGTGCCTGTGTATATGTTGTTTATTTCCCCTCCAGCAGAAGGACTGAAAGCTCTTGCCTAAAATAGGGTCTGGCATATAGCAGGCATTCAACAAATATATGCCAAATGAATACAAATGTCCATTTCTCCCACTTCTTTGTCTCATGGCATTCCCCCACTTTGCCAATACTTCCCCAACTCAGGAAGAAAGAAAAAGGATGGAACAGAGGGAAGCCCACATCTGGGTCCTTACAAGATGGACCACAGAACACAAAATACCCCTGTGTGTTGAACTCTGTGTGTCCTGAGCAAATGCTCTTCTAAGGACAGTTCAGGAGGTAAGAAAAAAGATGGCAGAACTGCTCACTGTCAAGAGGGAGAAAGATGCAGGCACCTTCTAGAGGGTCTACAGAAGAGCTGTTGGGGGCCAGATATGGCGACTCATGTCTGTAATCCTAGCACTTTGGGAGGCAGCACTCTTGAAAACCAGCCTGGGCACTAGAAAGATCCTGTCTCTACATGAAGTAAATAAAAACTTAGCTGGGCCTGGTGGTGCACACCCGTAGTCCCAGCTACTTGGGAGGCTGAGACAGAAGGATTCCTTGAGCCAGGAGTTTGAGGTGGCAGTGAAGTATTATGGTGACACTGCACTCTAGCCTGGGCATCAGAGAGAGACCCCTGTTGCCACACCAAAAAAAAGAGGAGAAGAAGGAGGAAGAAACAGGAAGAAGGAGAAAGAGAGGAAAAAGGAGGATAAAAGAGGAGGAGGAGGTGCAGCAGCATCAAGAGGTGGTGGCCAAGGGGACATCTGTTCTCAGGGGGAAGAGACAAGGTCCTAACATACACTTACAGTATCAGAGTAGGAGTGAGGCCACTCAGGGACAAAAGGAAAAAAAAAAGATGGGCATGGCAACCTTTTTGCAAAATCTGCTCAGGTTCAGAGTTAAGGGCAAAGCATGTTTGCTAAGAAACATAGGAAATAAAAGAAAAGTCAGGGGGCAAAAACTTGCACTGGGACAAAGACAAAGAGAGAAGGGATGACCTGTGTTTGGCATCACCTGGAGCATTCTTGGTTGAGAAGCTGCAGTTTTCACAAATCACTGTGGTGTGGGTAGAAGTGGTAGGAGGTGGGTAGGTGGATGGAGGAATACTGTCCTACCTATGGGACTCGCTATTGCTCTTGGAAGTAAGGGGCCAGAAAAAAGAAAATTATGCTGATATGAAAGGTCTGAAGGGCAAGAGCCATATCTTCCTTATACAACTTCCCCAGTTACCAACATAGTGCCCAGCAGACAGAAGACATCTCTGAGGAGAAAATACCATTATTGATTCAGTGAGAATGAAAGGCAAGTTGACTGTAGATAAATCTAGATAAATCTTAACACTGGCAGTGTGAGGCTTCTCCCTTTCCAGCTCTGAGGCCTGTCAAATCAGCAGGGATCCTCCTAGAACTCCCAGGCTTTGAGGGAAATAGCTGGGCCAAGAGTCAGTGAGGCAAAATAGTTATAAGGTCCAGAACCAATAAAGTTCTAATTGGATCCAAGTGGTCAGACATATCAATTAAGATCCACTCAACAGTCATGAGTCTGTTCCCTTTCTAAGAGACAGAAATTCTGAACACTGTAGGGCATGGACAGAGTTCTATTTATCTTTGTATTCTCAGTGTCTGGCTCACTGCCTGGCACATGGTAGGCACTCAATAAATGACTGGTGAATGAACTACCCAATGAAGGAAAAACATGAAAGAAAATTGGGGCATCCAATGGGAGGAAAGGTATTTGGGCAGGTTTTAGATTCCCATCCCAGACTTTTCCTTTCACATAGACCTTGGCTTGTTTATCTTCACACACGCACACAGTCACATCTAATCCCAGCTTTTCCATATGACAGTGGAAACTATTCCAACCCATCTTTTAGGGCCTTTTTTTTTTTTTAATTTTGCCTTCTCTCTAAGCTCTGCAGTTTCTCTTGGCTTTGAAACTATGACAAACCTTCTGTTTGTAGAAGGGACAAGACAGTGACTTGAATAGACTTGTTCCTTGCTCTGTGTTTCCTCAGTTACTGTGTGTCCCAATTCCCTCATTTTATGCATACCATAGTGTCAGTGTTGGTCTCCCACACAGTGGTTTCTTATTTCCCCTACCCTACTCAAAATCTCTATCTGACTCAAAATCTGCAGAAGGCACTCAGCAAGTTTGCTAATTGTCCTGAAAGAGGCTCAGGTCTGTTTACCATCCCCAAGTCTTGGGAAAGAGAAAGAAAAGCGGCTCGTCCTGGCCACAGAGCCCATAAGAAACAAAATCCCAAGAACAGTGTAAACAGAAATTGTTGCCCGAAGGCAGAAAATGGGGTGAAGAGTAGAACTTCTAGGTTCTACCAAAGCTCAGATGCCAGATAGATGGGACTGATCAGAAACGGGACTGGTAAAGACATGGAGGATGCCTGCTAACCGTCACGCCAGTTGAATCATGCAAGGCGCAGGGCATCAAGGAGTATCCACAGAGCACTTCCTCGCCCACGTTTGCGCCTCTATTTCCAGACATACGGCCTCATTACCAAGAGAGTCTGAGCCTCTCAGACTCTCCGAGGTGGGTGGCGTTGTTCAAAGCAGGCATCGTGAGCCTCGACGATTCGGCCGTGTTAGGCCCCGAGAGAGGTAAGGGAGTTCCGGGACTGACGACTTCAATTCATCCCTACGGCGCCCCAGCTCTGTAACTCACCCGAATTCCACCTCCACTGACAAGGGCGCTGCCATGTTGGGGAAGCCAAGATCGCAGGAAACTCCCCTCAATTTCCGGCGCGCCCGCCCATTTCCGCTCACCACCCTGCGCGAGGCGGAAGGGGCGGTGCCCAGGGATCCCTCCACCTCCACTATTGGAGGGAGTTACGTGGGGGAGGGGCGGAGGAGAGATTGTCGCCGGAGCTGCGAGAGCCTGGGAGTTAATCCTTCTCCACCTTGCGCAGGTTGGGCTCTGTGAAACCAGGGTGGAAAGCGCATTGTATGGAGAAGAACCCCCAGCATCTTTGCGACGTCACTGTGAGCCACATTAGTGTTTATCTTGTGTTTCAAATCTCTTGGCAGGTAACACGCTGCTTGGGCGAGCCCCATCCACTCGTCCGGATTGAATTTATTCATCAGTGACTTCCAGACCTTTATTTCCGACCCAGAAATCTTTCCTGAGCTATCGACTCACCGGCCAACCTCCCCTTTCGATTTGATTTGGATGCCCCTCAACTCTCTAAAATCTCCCAATTTGAAAGCAGGGACTGGCTGACAGCAGCAGCTGTCCAAAGCACCTCTGTTGTGCCAGCAATGTTGGTCGGTACTGTGGATGTAGTGGTAAAGGTGATAGGCAAGGTTCCTGCCTAGAGAATTCAGAGGAACGGTTCTTAACCTGTGGGTCGGTCGCAGCATTAGGAAGGTTGAGAACCACTGACTTAGAGTGTCCTGGGCAGATTAAATGTAATCAAAGACACTTTTCGGCCAGGTGCGGTGGCTCCGGCCTGTAATCTTAGCACTCTGGGAGACCAAGGCGGGCAGATTGCTTGAGCTCAAGAGTTGTGACCAGCCTAAGCAAGAATGAGACCCCGTCTCTACTAAAAACAAACAAACAAAAAACCCCAAAAAACCTAGCCAGGTGTAATGGCGGGCACCTGTAGATCCAGGTGTTCCGAAGACAGAGGCAAGAGGATCTGTTGAGCCCAGGAGTTTGAGGTTGCTGTGAGCTATCATGATGCCAGGCACTCTACCCAGAGTGAGTAGAGCATGGTAGCATCAGTAGAGCATGGTAGCATAGCCTAGTGGTTAAGGACAGAATGAAATAATGGTTTATATTCCGGTCCTGTCACTTCCTAGCTGTGTCGTTGTGCAAGTCCTTTAACATCTTTGTGCCTCTATTTCCTCATCTATAAATGGGGATAATAGCCCAACCCCATAGGCTTGTAATGATGAATAATGAGATCTGACATAGTGCCTCTTTCTCTAAAACAGCCTCTCAGTGTTCTCTATCTCAAGCATACCACTACCACCCTCTGAAACACACAAGCAAGAAACCTTTGGACATTCTTAATTTTCTCCCTTCTCTCATGTCCAAGCAGTGACCAAATTAGAGTTAGTCTCCCTTTTAAGCTGACTTTGAATCTCCAGATTTTTCTTCCCCCTGCTCCTACTCCCAGCTTATCACCTCACTTGCTTCTCTGGCTTGCCTACCCACCCACCTCCACTCTGTCCTTGGCTTCATGGTATAATTCAACTCCATGGACATCTCTGAGCTCCTTCAATGTACCAGGCTTTGTTCCAGGACACTATTAAAATGAGGACAAATTAAAAGGCCTCACATTTACAGTGCCAGGTGAGTAGGCTACTTCCCCTCTGAAACTCAGTTTCCCCGATTTGTAAAGACGGTTTGGAACCAAATGATCCTCCTTTTAGCAAAAATATTCCAAGATTCTTCCACTGGACTCTTAGCTTCTTTAGGGCAGAAACTTTTCCTGATTGCTCTTTAATCATTAGCATGTAGTAAGGAGTTCTGTATATGTATGTATGTTCTGTATCTGGTACCGTAGGTGTTGGTTAAGTGCTGACTGAGTGAATAAATGAAGGATATCACTCTCCTGCTCAAAGTCATTTAGTGGATTACCTTTGCCAGCAAGATAAGGGCAGTCAGAGCTGTGTCTAATCTTTGATCCCAAACCCATGTCTACCAGCTAAATAGCCTCTGACCATGGGAACTGCTTCCCAGAGCTGGATGGAGTCCTTGGGGGCATTTGAAAGGCTTCATCCATTTCACATTTATTGAGCACCTATTAGTGCCAGGCCAGTGTTGGTGCTGAGAACATAATGGTGAACAAAACCAGAGTCCCTGCTCTTTTTTTTTTTTTTTTTTTTCAGACAGGAGCCTCAAGCTGTCCCCCTGGGTAGAGTGCCGTGGCATCTCAGCTCACAGCAACCTCCAACTCCTGGGCTCAAACGAGTCTCCTGCCTCCGCGTCCCAAGTAGCTGGGACCACAGGCGCCCGCCACAACGCCCGGCTATTTTTTTGGTTGCAGCCGTCATTGTTGTTTGGCGAGCCCGGACTGGATTCGAACCTGCCACCTTGGGTGTACATGGCTGGCGCCTTAGCCACTTGAGCCACAGGCGCTGAGCCGAGTCCCTGCTCTTCAGGGGCTGATGTTTTAAGAAGATTGGGAAGAAAATATGGATCACACAGTGCAGATTAGTGCTATGGAGGGGGAACCAGGTAGGCCTCTAACCCAGCCCTGGGATCAGAAAAGTCACAGAGAAGCCCAAGAGAGGGAGAAAGCATGTAGAAGGCCAAAGGCATTCTTTCCTCCCAGAACCTCAATAGGCAGGTGGTCCAGCCTCTGGCAAGTCAGTCCATTCCTTGGATGTCCAGCTCTCATAATACCCTTCCTTCCCCTGACTCCAGGCCTGTCCCCCTCAGCTCCTGGGTTAGTGAGAGTGCTAGCTTGAAATACTGTATTTGTTCAAAAAGTGTTTACTGAACATCCACTTTGCAACTGGCAGATGTTTTTTACATGTATTATCTCACAGGGACTGTTCATTATCCCTTTTCTAAATGAGAAGAGCAAGACTCAGAATGACCTGTTAGGCCTCAACCCCAGATGTTTGTGCTCTCAGGATCTCTTTCTATTTGCTGACCCTCACTGCCTCCCCTTGAATAGTCTTCCCCCAAGTGCCTTCCCTCAGGTCCACGCAGAAGAGGGGCTTGGGCCCCATCCCGTTTCCTCCAGTGGGCCAGGCCAAACCAGGCCGGCATAGGCCTCCATCCCCTCTGAAGCTCCTACAGAGACAAAGGCGGGGTCTGCAGGGCAGGGGAGAGCGCCAGTACCCCCCTGCCCGCTGCCCTTTGTCTTCCCGCCAGCTCCCCTCGCGCACCCTGGGAGGCTGGGAGGCGCCTCTCTCAGGCTTCCTCCTCCCATTCTTGTGCTAATTGGGTGTCAAGCTGAGATCAGTGAGAAAGAAATCCGCCCTGGCTCGGGTTAAACTGCCGCCAAAGGCCAGGGCTGAGCCAGAATATCATTAGGGAGGAAACTGGGCCCCCTCCTTGTATGGAGGGGTGGGCTGGCCATGCATTCAGGCCCCTTTGAAAGTCACCCGGTCCTCCCTCCCTTGCTGCAGCCTCAATGGGTCTCCTCAGAGGTATTTAACCTTCTTCCCAGGAACTGAAAGTGATATGCCACGCACTGGCTTGGGCAGCCACTTGCCTGTCCAGGATGTTAGAGGCTGGAAGGGGCCAGGCAGAGCAGACAGGTTGCAAGTGGGAACACTGAGACTCGGGGAAGGAGACTTTCCTCCTAGCTCTATCATTGACAGACTGCCTCTCTGAGCCTCACATTCCTCATCTGTGGAATAGGGATAAAAATCATACCTGCTTTGTTAAGATTTAATGGACTTGGCTCGGTGCCTGTGGCTCAAGTGGCTGGGGCGCCAGCCATATACACTTAGGGTGGCAGGTTCGAATCCATCCCGGGCCTGACAATGATGGCTGCAACTGAAAAAAAATAGCCAGGCGTTGTGGCGGGTGCCTGTGGTCCCAGCAACTTGGGAGCAGAGGCAGGAGACTCGCTTGAGCCCAGGATTTGGAGGTTGCTGTGAGCTATGCCATGGCACTCTACCCAGGGGGACAGCTTGAGGCTCTGTCTCCAAAAAAAAAGGATTTAATGGACTTTGCATAGAGCCTGGCCTGGCATGTAGTAAGTGCTCCATACATGGTAGAAGCACTCATTGGAGCTGTGAAGTATAATCGCCCTCAAAGGCATTGCTTCCCATAGCTTCCCTTAACTCCTCTCTACAGCAGCCCAGCAGCCTCGCGGCCCTGCACCCCAGGATTTTACTTGGTCCTACTGCCTCTGTCTGGAACACTGTTACTTGAAAGCCTTCCCTGAACTTGAGCGTCTCCACCCTCACCCCAGGGCACTGAGTTAGGTGCAGCTAAGGACACAGTTTTTGCCCTTCTCTCCACTCCCCCACCCCACCCCCGGGGACATTGGCTCCCTGAGAGCATATTTGGGGTCCTGATCTCTGTTTTGCTCTTAAGGCAGCTCAGTACCTCCAGAGAATACCCCCTGCAGATGAACTTAAGAGGTGCTCTGTAGGGCAACGCCTGTGGCTCAGGGGAGTAGGGTGCCAGCCCCATATGCCTGAGGTTGTGGGTTCAAATCCAGCCCCAGCCAAAACCTGCCCCCCCCATATATATATATATATATATATGAAGAGGTGCTCTGTAAAATTAGATTTTCTTTTTTTTTTTTTTTGAGACAGAGCCTCAAGGCCTCCTGGGCTCAAGCGAGTCTCCTGCCTCTGCTCCCAAGTAGCTGGGACCACAGGTGCCCCCAACGCCCAGCTATTTTTTGGTTGCAGCCATCATTGTTGTTTGGCGGGCCCGGGCTGGATTCGAACGCACCAGCTCAGGTGTACTAGCGCCAAAAAAAATGAGATTTTCATGCACAATTTCTCTGCATTTTCACATTGCAATCCCCAAGGGATTCCTTGACCTCCATTTACAGGAGAGGAAACTGAGGCTTAGCCTGGCAAATGGTAGAACTAGGATTTGGATACAGGGCTGGCTGACTCCAGAGCTGGATCGCTTCACCACCTCATACTGTGACTTTCTTCAACCTGGAAGATGGAATGGCCCCTCTCCAAGGCCTCCTCCTTCCCACTGTAGAGAACTTAACTACTGAGCACTAAAGACACCAAGCAGCACCTTAACCAAGTACAGGCCCTGGAAAGCTCAACCAAAGGCCCTCACAGGGTGGCCATGGGCGCCAGAGTTGGTACCTACTTGGGGCGGAGGTGGGACTTGCAGCCCCTTCCTGCTGCCCTCGGCTAAGTTCTAAGGGACAAACCCAGATACCCCAAGCTCTGGGCGCCCTCTGCTGACCACATACAGGCATGGCAGCCAGGCCTGCCATCCCCACACTCCCCTCAGTCATTTCCCCATTCCAGCCCTGGAGCCTCCCCCACCTTTATCTTAGTACAGACACCAGACACTATCTTTCACAGGTCACTCCACCAGGAGGTACCCCAGGCTTCTCAGCCTGGCCACCCTCCACCTGAACTGTCAGCTGCTGGCACAGGGTGTGGACAATCGGCTCCACAGGCATGCCTGGAATGGAAGTTCTAACTTCCTGTTGCCTCCTACACTAGGAGGCAGGGTGGTGCAGGAAGGGATCAGGGCTTGGGCTAGCATTCCAGCCACTACTACTTGGTGTGTGACCTTGGCCAAGTGACTCAAAATCTCCAAGTTCTAGTTCTTCCTTTGAAAGAGTCCATTTATAAAGACTTGTGGCTCGACGCCTATAGCTCAACCGGCTAAGGCGCCAGCCACGTACACCTAAGGTGGCGGGTTCGAATCCAGCCTGGACCTGCCAAACAACAATGACGGCTGCAACCAAAAAATGGCCGGGTGTTGTGGCGGGTGCCTGTGATCCTAGCTACTTGGGAGGCGGAGGCAGGAGACTCGCTTGAGCCCAGGAATTGGAGGTCGCTGTGAGCTGTAATGCCACGGCACTCTACCCAGGGGGACAGCTTGAGGCTGTCTCAAAAAAAAAAAAAAAAAAGACTTGTGATAAGGGATCAACAGAGGGGATCAAGGCCCAGGGCTTGCCTACTCTCTAGGGCTGTTCAGGAACTCCTTTCCAGCAGGCTTTCCACCTTGGGTGTGACTCCAGTGATGGGGCCTAGGAGACAGTTGGCTCTATTGTATTGCAGACTGTACAGCTGTTAAGACTGCTGCAGGAAGCTTTCCTGGACTGTGTCTGGGTAGGTCAGGCATTGCTCTGGCTTTCACAGCAACCAGTCTCCATCCTTCCAGCCACTAAACAATCAATGCATTGCAGAGGGGGTGGCAGAGTCTGAAATTAGGATCCTGCCCTAGCTTAGGGTTTCTCCTTGAAACCCTTCCTCATAATGGCTACCTTTAGCTTTTTTTTTAAGAGACAGTCTCACTTTGTTGCCCTTGGTAGAGTGCCATGGCGTCACAGTTCACAGCAACCTCCAACTCTTGGGCTTAGGTGATTCTCTTGTCTCAGCCTCCTTAGTAGATGGGACTACAGGCCCTCGCCACAATGCCCGGCTGGTCTTTTGTTTAGCAGGCCCAGGCCGGGTTCAAACCCACCAGGCCTGGATCATGTGGCTGGCACCCTAACCACTGAGCTACGAGTGCCCAGCTATAATACGCAGGTTGTTAAAAAGCTTGCTAGAGGGCGGCGCCTGTGGCTCAGTGAGTGAAGTACCAGCTCCCCACGTACCAAGGGTGGTGAGTTCAAACCTGGCCTCGGCCAAACTGCAACAAAAAAATAGCTGGGCGTTGTGGCAGGCACCTGAGTCTCAGCTACTCAGGAAGCTGAGGCAAGACAATCACTTAAGCCCAAGAGCTGGAGGTTGTAGTGAGCTGTGATGCTACAGCACTCTACCGAGGGTGACAGGGTGAGACTCTGTCTCTTAAAAAATCAGAACAAAAAAGCTTGCCAGACTCAGATGAGACCTGCCCCCATCTGAACTGCACATTGAGGGCAGTATCTATGGCATACCTACCTGCTGCATCCCTAAGTCCAGGTGAATGAATAAATGGAAAAAGTGAATGGGCTAGAGGGGCAGTAAGTGAAGCCCAAGAAGGCTGGGGGTGGGTGGCTCAGGTGGCTAGCACACACAGGTGAGGAGGAATCAAGGCAGAATTTATTGATCCCCAAGCCCCTCCCACATTCTTCTTCTCACAGCCAGGCTAGGACTGAGATGGAGGTGACATAGACCCACAAGGACAGAAAGGCCCTACCTGAGGGACAACCAGGCTGCCACCCAGGGAGAGGATGAGGGAGTGTGGAGAAACAAGGGGTGCTCTGTCCTGACCTGTTGCTGGAGGGGGCACCAGGGGCCACATTGGGGCTGTGTGTCCCCTCCTGAAGGTGGGTGAAGCTGAATGAACTTGGGCAGGTCTGGGGCCAGGATCCTCTTCAGCCATCTGATCAATGGCCACTACTAACCCTGCCCACTGTGTTGCTTTCCTGAGTCTGGAGACTTCTGCCCTGGTCCCATTTATAAGCTTCCTACCCTCTGGGGAGAGCTTGGTGACTCCTCTACCTCTCCTGCCCTGACCCAAGACATCATCCTGAGAAGGCCCTGTCAGTCTCAGCCTGGGAACCAGAGGGCCTGCCTAGTGCAGAAGACGTAACTTGGGACATGAGGCTTTCACAGAAAACCTCTGGAGGTGTGGGAGGTGGCAGTGAGTCACTTGGCAGTTTTGGAGGGAGGGGTCAGCACCTCAGGGTGGAGGTGCTGGGCCCTGCTTGCTTTGGTCTGGCATCATCCAGGACCCCTCTGGGGTGGAGCTCAGGGCTCTGGATCCAACATCTACTACCCCTCAGAGGGATGAAGTGGGAAATTCACAGCTTTTCTTCGCCTGCCTGGATGCGTGTGTAGGCCTCTTGGTCCAGTGGGACATAGAAGCCCTTCCGAGTGTCCAGGTAGAACAGGGGGTCTTTCACAATAGCCGGATTAAAGCCCTCCTTTCGCAGCTCTGTCTTCTGGAACTTGTAGGTCCCTGGGGAATGGGGAAGAAGACTTAGGACAGTTCAGGGCAGTGACCTGAGCTCCCAGGAACCTTGCTGCCACTGCTGGAGAAGGACCAAATAAAGGGCTGGAGAGAGAACAGGAGGAAAGTGTGGGAGAAGGAGGCGCTGCACTTTTAAGTTTACAAAGAATGCTCCATCCGCTACCTCATGTACTTCAGTCTTAGAGCAGCCGTGGCAAAGCAGAGGTGGGGACAGGAACAGCTATGTTACCTACCCACACTCATTTTGCAAATGGGCAAAGTGAGACCCAGAGAAGGGAATGACAGCAGGGAGGGGGACCAGAACATGTATCTCCTGACTTGAGGACTCTCTTTATACTGGGTGCAAGTATGATCTCACTTTATAAGATGCACATGCTTTTTTTGTTTTTGTTCTTTTTTGCAGTTTTTGGCCAGGGCTGGGTTTGAACCCGCCACCTCTGGCACGTGGGTCTGACGCCCTACTCCTTTGAGCCACAGACGCTGCCCGATGCACATGCTTTTAAATTTTAACATCTCTGAGATAGGCTCGGCACCCATAGCTCAGTACTTAGGGCTCTGGTCACATACACTGGAGCTGGTGAGTTCAAATCTGACCCGGGCCTGCCAAACAACTACAAAAAGAAAAAAAAAAGCCAGGTGTTATGGAGGACAGCTGTAGTCCCAGCTACTTGGGAGGCTGATGCAAGAGAAGCGCTTAAGAGTTGAGATTGTTACAAGCTGAGCTGTGATGCCAC